TCTTTTGGAGCAATGGCTATCTGATTATACCCTGAATATCCGTCTAGAAAACAGTAATAAGAATGACCTACTAACATTTCCAACATCAGATCAATGAAGGGTACTGGAAAGTGATCTTTTCTGGTGGCATTATTTAGCTTCATGTAATCTATACACACTCTCCATCCCGTTACTAAACGTGTTGGTATCAACTCATTGTTCTCATTCTTTTCTACTATAATTCCACCATTTTTCCACATGTACTGGACTTACCTAAGAACTATCTGAAATATGGTAGATAATTCTTACATCGAGTAATTTCTGCACTTCTTTTCTCACTACTTCCTTTAAGGTTGGATTTAATCAGTGTTGACCTTCTACGGATGGTTTAGACTTGTCCTCCATTAATATTTTATGCGTACAAAGAGTAGGACTAATTCCTCGAATATTAGTTATGGTCCATCCAATTGCAGTCTTGTACTTCTGGAGTATCTCTAATAACTTATCTTACCCCTTCTCTATTATGTCATTAACAATGATCACTTGAAGTGTTGTAGAGTCTCCCAAATATGCATAACAGAGGTGGGATGGTAGGGTTTTAACTCAAGAGTTGGAGCCCTCTCTACTGAAGGTATGTGTAGTGTAGGATTGGAACCAAGAGACTCATATTGCCAATATCTCTTTCCAATTGGTTGTTCGGCCAAATGTACAGTTTATTCTGTTATCTCTGAATTTGTCACCTTTGATAGAATGGCTAAATGTGCTGCTTCAAATGTATCTGCCACAAGCTCATCAAGAACATCCACTTGGCAACAAGTATCTAAATTTAATGGTGTTTCATTACCTTGAACACATTGAATATGACTTGCTTATTGTCCACTCAAAAAATCATTTTTCCATCATATACATCAATAAGTGCTCTCCCAGTAGCTAAGAAAGGTCTTCACAAGATTAACGGAATATTTGAATCTTCTTCCATGACCAAGATAATGAAATCTGTTGGAAAGATAAACTTATAAACCTTGACTAGCACATATTCAATAATTCCCTTTGATCTTTTGATAGACCTACCAGCCAGTTGCAATGAGATTGTTGTAGGTTTAGCTTTTCCCAATCCAAAAGATTGGTAAACAGAGAGTGGCATTAAGTTAACACTAGCACCTAAATCACATAAGGAATGCTCGGAATAATTAGAACCAATAGTGTAAACTGTAAAGCTCACTGGGTCCTTTAGCTTAGGAGGTAGCTTTTTTAAGAGAATTGCACTGCATTCCTCGTTCAGGCAGACGATCTCATGTTCTTCCAGCTTCCTCTTGTTGGACAGAATTTCTTTCAGAAATTTTTACATAACTGGGCATTTGTCCTATTGTATCTACGAAAGGAATGTTTATGTGAAATTTCTTGAAAACCTCAACAAATTTGGCAAATTGCTTGTTTAACTTCTTTTTCTATAACCTTTGAGGAAAGGGAATTAGTTGCACATAAGCTTTTATGGGACTTGGTGCTCTTACTGAGAATTTTCTTTTCTCTCGTCATCATCTTTTTCAACTGGTGCAGCTTTTTCCTCATCATGAGCCTCTTCAACTTCTTTCTTTTTTGTATTTTCTGTTTGGCCTCTTCACATGTATCTCTGGTAATTGTACTCCACTTCTAGTTGTAATAGCTTGCACTTGCTCCTTTGTGTTTATCATTGTATGGCTTGGCAATGTCCCTTGTGGGCGTTTGGCAAGCTATTGAGTTATCTGACCAATTTGTGTCTCCAGCTTCTTGATCGAAACTTGCCGATTCTAAAAATTTGTGTCAATCTGCTGGAACACCTTATCTGTTTTCTACATATACTGATTGAACATCTCTCCCAAACTTGGTTTTTTTCCTTGCTGGGCATTAATTGAACAATTCCCTTGTTGATTATCTGACCATCTGAAGTTCGGGTGCTATCTCCATCCTGTGTTATATGTTTGTGAATATTGGTTAAATATGAATGAAGTTGACTTGGTCCTCATGAAAGCCCATAGACATACAGTTTTCTGTCAAATGGTTAGCTCCACAGTTTACGCATGATGGACCACCCATCATTGCATGTGCTCCTTTCATTTGTCACCAATAGCTCTACCTACTTTGTCAAAGTTGCTATCTGCATGTTGGTAGATGTTGTGCTGTCTAATTCATACATCCCAAATGCTCTCGGTAGTACCACTCTTTTTGATGAAAACATTGAATGTGTAGTGACAATTAACACAAATAAATTCATGATTTGTTGTACCGATTTTCCTATGATCGATCCATTGGCAGAGGAATCCAATTGAGATTTTGAAAGTGGTGAGTGTCCGGTGTAAAAATATTGCACTTGATTTCCTATTGTAATTCCATGATTTGGACACTTTCACATCAGCTCTTTGAAATTGTTCCATGCCCGTGATAGTTCTCTCCATCTTTCTATTAGAAAGTTTGAATTTCCAATCTGATTTTAGCTACTTTTGCCGGTGGGAAGAATTTGTTGCAGAATTTTCTGATCAGTTCTTTCCATGTAGTAATGCTTCCATGAGGTTTAGCGTATAACCACTCCAATGCAGAATCTCTAAGTGTATATGGAAATAGTTGCAACTTAATAGCATCTTCATTAACCCCCAGAGCGTGGAAGTTCTGAAAATTTCTAAGAAATCTGGAGATATGTGTGTTCGGAATTTCATGAGGTAACTCGTATAATTGGAGAGGGTTGCTCATCAAATTAATCTACTTTGCCCTTATTTGAAAATTATTTACTTTGAAATCTGGATATACAATACTGGAGCGTGCAAGCACGGCTATGGGCATCAAGAACATTGAAACGGGACAAGCCTCTTTCATTTATTTCCCATCGCTCATGCTGTTGATCAGGTAGTGTCGCTTTCTTGCAACCACTTGTCCAATTGGTTGAGTAGGAATAAGAATATTTTGACCGTCAGTCATTTGATGTTTTTGTTTTTGTCTGTGTTCCTTGCGTCTTTGTCTGAAAGTACGTTTTATTTTCGAGTCAAACAGTTTAAGATCCTCGCCTTTGGTATGAAGCATATAACGAACACTTTATGTTATAAAAGAAAGTAAAATCAAATC